CCCCCCCCCCCAGCAAGCGATGACCCCGCCTGCCTGAGGCTGGAAGCGGCCGTAGCTCCTCTGCCCAGCCCCACCAGCACCTCGCCCGAGGAAGGTGCTTGCTGTTCCTCAGCAGCCAGCACTCTGCCAGCCCCCGCACAGCACCCTCCGGGCTCCTCCTGCCCTGCGGCCACAAGACCTGGAGACCATTACATCCTGCTGGATTGGTACCGTGAGTGGCAGGGGACATACTCTGCATGATGAAAACGTGTCCAAACACAGCCACCTTTTTTGAGTATCACAGATCAAAGATACAAAATACAGGAGAAAAACTGATCAGCAATTCTGCACTTCCAGAACTTTGGCAGTGAGTAGGTTTACAGAAACAAGAGAATAAAGTTTTGGTTATCATACACAGAAATGAAACCTGTCCCGTTGTGAGGAGGCACCGTCGAACGGACGCTGCGGGAGGGCTGGGTGCTGGAGCAGCCCATCTGCCAGCACACTGCTGGGAACGGCCCGGAAAGCGGGAGAAAGGAAACAGATACACGGCAAAACTGACTTTCCCAAAGCACTGGTATTCCGAGATGCTACAGAAAACCCACAAACACAAGAATTACTGGTATCTACCCTTTTATTGGTGTGTTTTCCTTTTAAGCATTTACTTTGACATATCAATCCGTGTTAACAGAGTGCCTCAGAGAACACCAGCAGAAGGGACCTACGCAGATATTCCTACTGCTCACACGGGTTAAAACTTAACGACAAGAAAAGACTGTGAAAGAAAAAGCCAACTGCCTGCGGAGCACGAAGGCAAAGCCAGCTGCTGGAAGCGCAAGGCTGCCGGTCCGAGATCCCACCGCAGGACAGGCGCATCTCTCCCCGGTCGTGCTCCACCGACACAGCGAGCACACAGAGAAAACAGCTCTTGTTTACCACCGGCCCCGGCTACGCCAAGCAGCAACGCAGCCCTCCTGGTGGCACTGGCGATTGTTTCAGCCCAAACAGATGCTGCAGCCTGAATGAGCTCATTCTGCAGCTCGCACTGATGTAGGCTGCACTCCCCACTTGCTACTTTTGAAACTGAAGAAGAATCGGGCTTTGCTAAAAATACGGCCCAGGCTGAATGGATTCTTTTGTGAGGGGAGGTTAGTGTCTTCTCAGGGCCTCCCCACGCTGGACACAGAAGACAGGGAAGAGCTGCACCGAGGATCTCGGGGAGAAGCTTGTCTTTCACCGCCTGCGTGTGCCCCAGGCTCCCAAGGAGGGGACTGTCTGGAGTGACTCTCCCTGTGAGCTAGTAGATTTTTTTTTTTTCTTACAAGATTTGTCAGGACCTCTAATTCTTCCAGCTCGGGCCCCTGTCACCCTAGAGGACCTGTCACCATGACAAGCAGGAGCCGCCTGCCCTGATGCTCGCACACGCAGGGCTCTGAGGACACCACGCGAGGAGCTCGCTGCCCGCCGGGTGGGAGAAGGAGCCATCACAAGGCTCCCTCTGTGCCCTGCTGCAAGCTCAGCCCCTGCTCGCTCCCCGGGCAGCGGAGCTATGAGAAGCAGCCATCCCGCGCCCCAGCGACACAATCCCACGCGTGCCTAACAGCTTCTGCCTCCTCCTCCTCCTCGGAGCTTCCACACGCTGCCCCCGCTCCAGCGCCGATCTGGCTTCCACCCCTCCCACCCCAGCTCCTAACCAGATGCAAGCAGAGCTCCCCTGCAACGCACCCGACTGCAAGCTGCTGAAAACTGCCCGGATCTGTACGCAGAGCCGCTGCCAGGCCTCGGGTGCCGGCACAGCCCCGGCGCGCAGACAGGTACGCGCACTCCCAGCAACACCACCCACCACAGAAATTCAGCGCCTGAGCAGGTGGCAGACCGGCTCTCTCGACCCTCACTCCTACTTCATTTCCTGCCTCCATTACAAAACGGTGACAGAAAAAAAATCTGGGA